GGTGTTCCTAATAATCCTTTAGGTGAGTGTATATTATAATTATTTGTTTGTTATTTACTGTTTCCTCGAGTTCACAATTTTAAACTAATGCCAAACAGTCCGCTCTGATCAGAACTACTGGTTCTACTATGCCAACTGCTTCATCCATTGGTCTATTGGTGTCCAGCACGTAATCATTCTGAAGAGACAAAAAACACTTTTTTTGTTATACCATGAAAAAATTAGCATATTTCTCAAAAAGTTTCTCTGCACAATTAACAGTCTATGCATAAGTCACTGTAGAGTAGGCCTAAGAGGTGTTTACCAGTGGTTCTAAGGCTTCTCAAAATTGGAATTCCTCAATCTCTCTTTCAGCATGTCTATCTCAGTTCCGTTTGTTCTAGAGCTCTTTCAGAGGTTTCTGAAGGTCTTTCAACAGGTGGTGCAGGGGTCATAGCAGAGGCTGTTAAGAATGTTACAGCATTACAAAAAAGTAATAACTTCAAATTACTGACTTTAAATGATCACAACTTCTCCACCATTCTCAATATTAACAATGAATGATGATAAAAATTCTCCTCACAAAACATACTTTTTAAATACATACCTAATACAGTTTTACCATTTGAATCCAGCACAATATTTATCCCCATGCCCCATCATCCTCATGGATTGCAGTGTTTTGTTGTTGCATTCCATATAATACTGTATGTTTCTCATTTAAAAAACGAGAGGAAGGTGTCATCATGTTAAGAAAATAGTTGTTTTTCTTCATGCTGGCAAAGAGCTGCTCAGCACACTGGCTGTTGACCCAACCATGCAACTGTGTTACATGCTCAATTTTCCGCAGAGCATCTCTTGTATTCTTTGTGTTTTTCTCATGAAAGCGGTCATACAGAACATAATGCTCTGATGACCCTGTCAAGGGGTGACCATTCTTGTCAGGTACAGGCTTTCTACATTTAATTCATGGTAAGCTTATGTTAAGATGACATGATGTAGCCAGTTCAATATTGGTGTCTGGGGGCTCCAAGAGTCACCCCTCATGTGGAGTAAAGGACTGGTTTCCTCAGGTTGGTGTGGCAGGCAAGCCCTCTTGCAAAGTCATACTGTGTAATGTTTGGAAAATGCTTGAAGGAGAGAAGATGATCTGCAAAATCAATTGGGCTCTCTGATCAGCCCAGATTGAACTTGATGGCGTAAACAAATGCACAGGGGCACGTTACAACAGCCCATCCAACCTGGTTAAAAAAATATTAATTCAGTGTATGCACTGTACAAAAACACAAATTAAAGCTGTAGTGGAAATAATCAATTACAAAATTTACTTACCAGAGGCTCCCCAGACCTTTGAAAAAACCTTGTCATATGTTGCCCTGGTCTGCATCTCTTTGCGGAGCCTCATGATAATGTCCATATGTGATCCCTTTGGGTCTACACCACACTGTCTACACAGGCTATGCAGAACATTCATCTGCAAAGTCACAAAGTATGGTTACTAATTTAAATATTGTCATCCAACCTCTGTAAATGGCTGACAATGAACACATAAATACCTTGAGTTTCAGAAATTCATCAGTGAGGTGATCGTCAGTGATATTAAATTCACTTGAATAATCTGAATTTTGGACTTGCTGGACATTCCTGTATTCTGTGTTATGAATCAGATTAGAGCCCCTTGTGTTGCGTCCTATCCACGGTGCCCAGTTTTGAAAAGAAGGACTTAACATAACGGGGTTCTGTCTGCTACCTATAGGATTACAATTACAAAATCTTAGCAATTTATCTCTGATGTACTTTAAGCCAACAATGATTCACAAAACAGACTTACTTGGCACTAACACACGACTCACTATTTCTAAAAAAAAAAAAAAAGACTCCCAAAACTGATTAGCATTTACAGTTCCATTGAAATATTCAGGTGGAGCTTCTATGTTGCTCACTATAATTTAAGAAAAGGGATAAACAATATTCAAAATTGTTACATAACACTTTTCTATACATGTGTTATAGCACTAAGTGAATGTTGTGTGTTTTATATTCTCAATAAAGTTGACTAAAATGCTGTTTAAGTGTGACAACTGCCTTCCCATTCCAATCTACAATTGGCTGTTCATATACAACAGTAAGACAGTCCTGACCTGCCACACCAAAGACCCCCTTCTTGTGCAAGTCCAAGACGACCGTGACTGGGTGGTACCCACAAGACACGCATGAATATGTATATTGGTGGTCTGTCAGTGCTTCATAAAGAAGGTAAGCCTGTAAGACTGTCGGTTGTGATGGGAATTTTTTGCCACAGGTTTTCTCCAAAGCCTGAACAACACTTCCAACTACCTGATGGGTCTGTACATGATCAACAAATCATACAAATCTGTACCATAAGAGAGCCTGAAGAATTTGAACAGTAAAATATAGTATCTCAGGAATAGACAGAGATGTAATGATAGAACAGTGTGGTTGCCAAAGTTATGGAGCCCATCTGACCACTCCTGGTATCTGTATGTCATGCAAAATTTGTACCACCATTTCCAATATGTTGACACTCATGGCAAAATCAAATAATTGATCAGTATTCATATACATAAATTAATTAAAAAGCAAAAAGAGAAGAAATTACTATTACCTTCAATGACATCAGACATTGTGACAATATTGGCTTTGCAAGAAATAATCTGTGGCTCACTTAAAAAGGTCTCTCCGGGGCATTCTGAGCACACAGTCTCTTTTGGAATCAAGTGTCTTGGATATTCTTTTGATGGACTGCAGGCATCTGAAAGCAGGTCGGCTGGGAGCTTCTTTATTTTGAATATGTATTTCACCATTCTGAGAAGCTTTGAGTCTTCTGGAGGGTACAGCGTCCAGTCTTCATGTACCTCTTGAACAGCATCGCAAATTGGTGGGAGTGATTCATTGAGGTCATCTTCCACACTGCAGATATGACTAAAAAGTGATCTTTCTGTTTGGAAGAGATGCCACTTTCCAATGTATTTGTGAATGCATGATTGCCTGGGCATGGTACAAGGACAGTGCCACTCAATTTTTTTGGAGTCATATGAGATCAGTACTCTGCCCAACCGGCTATAATAAGATATAACAGGCTCATAAATGGAAATGCATACTTTGTGGGAAGGCCCAGAAACAGTGACTTTGCAAGACAAAGGAACTCATCGACTGTAGGCATCTCTCCGTTGCTGAAGGAACTTTTTTTTTGTCTTCACTAAAAGTTACTAGACTTTTGGCGCATGCGCGAGTGGCAACACGGTCTCTGCGTGTCTTTCATACCTGTTTGTTTGTTAATGTTTTTTTTACCAAAACAAACCTTCAGATACATGTCTGAAGAAGGCCACACAGGTGGATGAATTATAATTTTCCGTTACTGATAAAGCTGTACACTGTTTCAGCATTCTGCGATAAATTACAAAGTTTAAATTTTATACAGGACGTACTGCACTCAACATTTGTTACCTAACGCTAATACTAACGCAATTATGTAAAATCACCACAAAAAAATACACCTAACACGGTTACTCACTTACTGTGATGTTAACATCTATATTCTGTTTGTTAAACATAACCAAACCATAAGCTACCATTATTCGATCGAAATAATTGTTTTATGCTCTTCAGAAGATGAGTACCATTACAGTTACATTATATTTAGTAAAATGTGTTGATTACACTTACCACCACAACTCTCCATCCACTGTGGAGTACTAGCTTTCTGGCGTTCTGACTTTTTTCTTCTTCAGCGCATGCGCACTAAGCCTCGGAAGAATATCTATAGGTTGGAAGAATCTTTTTTTTTTTTTTTTAGGTAGGAAGAATCTTTTTTTATTATTATTTAAATGTATATCTCATTACAACATTACAGTATAACAATGTATGACAAAATATAATCAGAACCAGTAAGATATTAGGTAGGAAGAAATGCTAGGATACCGGCAGTAGATTCTGGCGTCATTGAAAATGCCTAAGTTTCCCATTGGTGGGCACATTTAAAAGGTAGGGCTGGCCGTTGGAGGGGCTGGCCATCTTCTCGACCAATCAGAAATGAATAGGCCGAGTAGCACCATGGCCTAGCCGTCTTGCAACCTACAATGAGGCGTAGTTGCATAATGGAGGAAGAACTGGACAAAGCGTTTCCGGCAGGGTTTGAACATGTGCATGGAGATTAAGCTTGCTGGCACAGATTTTTTTTCTTTTTAATATATCTATCACTATTTTATGTGATGTAAAAGCATTATCCTGTGTAATATTTGCATTCCTTGGTGAGCAGAGCGGGGTACAGTCTCATTTATTTTGTGTTGTGGTGATTTGTTTGTGTAGTTGTTATTTGATATTTATTCACTTTGGTAATGTCATGTAATGATCCTATTTCATTGGTGTCTATGTTAAAAGATGTGAATTTAATTTGTGAAACATTTAATGTGTATTTGTATGTTTTAATACAGTTTTCACGGTGCTGAACGACACTGAAAGGTTTAACCTCGCTTCAGCTGTGCTGTGCTGATCAACGATGGATAAATTACGAGACACTTTTTAAGCACCAGTCCAGACACTCATTTCGGATTCCAAGGACCGTTACGTATATCGTAACGTCGCAATGTAAGTATTTTACCTTGATGTGCATGTGTTTGTGTCAACTCTGAACGCGTGTGAATTGTTAGCATCCCTTTCTGTGCCGCTATTAGACCAGTAGTGGTTGTAGATAAACGAAGCTTTCATTTTTAGAAGGCACGTCGTATTCTTTATTAAAATTACTTAAGCACTAGCCACAGTTTATTTATCGTACGGCCACAAGAATGATTCCTGGTCTTAGAGGAATGTCATACGAGGAAAGGTTATTTGAGCTAAATCTGTTCAGCCTCAAGCAAAGGAGACTGAGGGGGACATGATCCAGGTCTATAAGATTCGAACAGGTTTGGATGCTGTTCAACCGATTAGTTACTTTAGCATTAGTTCAAATACAAGAACTCGTGGCCATAGGTGGAAATTAGCGGGAAAACATTTCAAACTGGATTTAAGGAAGCACTACTTTAGACAGCGTGTAGTCAGAGTATGGAGTAGTCTTCCTGATAATGTAGTGCAAGCTGAATCTTTGGGTTCCTTTAAATCAGAGCTAGATAAGATTTTAACAACTCTGAGCTATTAGTTAAGTTCTCCCCAAGCGAGCTCGATGGGCCGAATGNAGAGCTAGATAAGATTTTAACAACTCTGAGCTATTAGTTAAGTTCTCCCCAAGCGAGCTCGATGGGCCGAATGGCCTCCTCTCGTTTGTATAGTTAGGTTCCATTTATGTCCACGTTTGTCTGCCCTTCTCTAAATAATCAGGAAAGACCACGTTTTATAAGTGTCTGTTTTAAAAACTCTAAAACTTGGTCAATTTGAAACTTCCTAAGACTTTAATGCAAGATTTATGTCGTTCTTCTCAAATTAATATGTGAAGGAATTTTCTTGCTTACTGCTGATTCATTTGGTTTGTTTAGTGAGTTGTCAGTTTTGCCGCTGACGACCGAGACACAATTTCGCCACTGTTGTATGACGAGAAAGTATGGATATGAAATATATCGCATCTCTAACTCTAAAGTAATAGTGTGTGTGTGTAATTATATAAAATAATTACACACACACGGCCCTTGCGTCGGATGTACATCATTTTCTGAAAGGAATCATGCTTTTAATCTCCAGTTCTGTTAAAGCCAACTAGTATAGGTTTTCACATTTTCAACACATTTTTTAACCACATATTTTTAAAGTAATCCGTATCAGAAAATTCATCTCCTCGATTGGTTGGAAGCCTCGTGACGCGGCCTAAAAGTTCCCGGATGATGTTTGGTTTCTTCACAATATTTTGGCGAGCTGGTTTCATTGCTATGGTGTAAGTTCATATTTGTTTTGGATTTTTGCTTTTTACTTTTTTTTTTGCTGTTTTCTGGTGAAATTTAAGGCGTTGTGGGTGCGGGGAATTCTGTTTACCTTCAGTTGGCTCGTGCAGCTTTAAAATGCGGAAGCGTGTTACTGCGAAGTGTAATTATATAAAGTTACAGCTAGTGCAGCAGAAATGCTGACAATATAAACTGTAAGGTAAGTGTTGATTATCAATTTGTTGTTCTCTAGCATTTGTTTATAACATCACAATGGAATATGTACAGATTGTAAATTCGTCACTCAGGGAACTTTACGTTTCATTGAATTCTAGATGTCAGTGATGAGCAGTTAAAGGTGTGATGCTTCCAACTTTCTTTAGTTTCCAGCAGCCACTTTTCTGCTCCCAGGATGCCTTTGTGTGTGTTGTGGGATACTGGGACTTCTAACAAATTGAATAACACCACATCTTGTGTGCCAGAGGCTATTGGGACAAAGTTGTGGTGGAGATCCAAGATAATTTCAGTTCTGGGCGAAGGGCTGCGTGCATGATCTCCAGTTCTCAAGCAAAGACCACCTACATAAAGGGGTATGCCTTGAACCCGGGTCCCCCCACCACCACCATTTTTGTTTCTGTGGTTTCAATCAGTCAATCAAATCAAATAGCCTTTTATTGTCAATTCACTATATGTCCATAACATACAAGGGAATTGAAATGTTTCTCATCTTCGTAGTACATTATAAAAAGTATAAACATACAACATAAATACCAATAGTACTAAAATAGTAAACCTCTGTACAATATGCAATAGTACTACACACGGAGAGAGAGGGGCCGATGTGCCCAATCACGCCGCCATCTTGTCCATCTGCTGTGGTTTCAGTGTATATGTAAGTCTTTCAGCTTAAGGGGATTATGTTTTGCTTGACTTCATATCTAAGGGCAAAGTGACTATGCTTCTATGAGGCATAAGTGCTAGTTTTTCTAACCAAGTTTAATTTCCTTTGTCTCTGATTTGTCCCATCTCTGAAAAGTAGAAAATGGCACCATCATCCCTTTCCAAACCTGACCCACTGCACTCGAGATGTCTGACTTTTCATCGCTCGACATAAATACTGGAATGTATGTATTTCTGCCTAACTGACTGAAGGATGCATGTATACACAATTTTATTAGACATCTTAATATTTTGAAATATTGTGCATCAGTGTTTTTGATAGGGTGTTACTATGCAATCTCATCCATTATATCCCAGTATCCTTTTACATTGGTAAAGCCTAGTTAATACTTCACTTTTAACATGTGCCTTTATGGTCTACACAGTCATGTGCATATGTCATGTTCATACTACAGTGTTTTTCTGTGGATCAAGAGGTTTGGGATGGGGCAATGTGATGGTGGGGTGGTTATAGTGGTACTACTGGACAAAAATACAGACGTCAGATTATTGTTGTGATGGCATGTTCCCTCTCTGTATATGGAGGTAAACAAATGCTTAATTATATAAATTAATATGGGCTAGTTATTTTTTTGTGGCAACTTTTTTTAGTAGTGCTTAGTTAAAACCTCATGTTTGCCCATCTTTAGTTTTTCACTCGGCAATGTAACAACAGCTTAACTGTATGCGTATGGAGGATGGCAGTGGGAATTGGCTGTAGACAGCTAGAGTAAGTGAGCAATGTAGCTCAGATTTTTGTCTAGTGGAAACCTTGCATGCCAACTGCGCATGTGCAAGATAATTGACTAGGTATATCCAGTAGGTGGCATGCATGTAAACTCTGTCCTTTCAATTTGCTCAGCTCAAAACAATATCAATTGTTCTGGAAACCTCTTCTCATCGATATTTGTTCAAGATTAATAATATATTACTACGGAGTTCCTAAGAGGTCAGGGTGAGAGTGTTGTTTTGAAATACTTTTGATCTCTCGCAATAGTTTTCAGTTACTAATAATTACTATGTCTGTTTAAAGTACAAAACGTTGGATTAATCAACTAATAAGTATAAATCTAAATGATAGACATGTACAGTTAAGTTTGCTTTAAGCATTAAACTATGGGGAACAATGCTCACCATAACTTTCATATGTGCTTTTATATGTATTTAATAATGCCACTGTGTCAATTCACCACCAGTAACTGTAAACAAGACAGCTGTGCATAGAATATGGAAAAAATACTGGTTTCTTGTGTGTGTTTTGCCTATGATTGCTTGGAGATAGGGTTGTATCTAGATTATTTCGCTAATGCGCAATAATCACCATGGCTTCATATGATGGGTGAAACATTTGGCCGTACGCCAGCTTTTCGGTACTATACGCATGTTTGTTTATGTCCACAATTTGGTAAGCAGATTATTAAATGCCTGAAATATTAATGAGGCATTTTATAAAGCCCAAAAGTTAGTAATAAGTATAAATTTGGCGTTTCCTTATGTTTAATAATCATGTCTGACTTTAAACTGCAAAAACTACTGCCACACCACCGACATCTTTTTACTTTGTTTATCCACAAGATCATCTCTTTTAAACGATGTGGCTGTTAAGATGTCCCTTTCTTCACCGCCACTCCAGTGTATATTGCACCGAAGTATACCAAACCATAGCATACCGAAACAGTATTATGTGGTGTGATCCGCTAACCAAATTTAATAAACATAAAGATACAAGATTACTAACTTTTGGGTGTCTCAAAACACATCTCATTAATATTTTGGCTGTACTACTAATTTGTTTACCAAATTGTGCGTGTAAATAAATATCCATATAGTACCAAAAAAGCTGCTATCCGGCCAAATGGTTTGCCCATCATCTGAAGCCCTGGTGATTACCATGCATGCACATTAAAATATCGATATATCACCCAGCCCTACTTGGAGACCACTAAATGTACACAAAAATTCAATTCAGATACTTTTTTTGTCATTGTTTCCACAGCGACAAAATTTTAAAGGTGTCACATCCAAACAGTAGTTCCATAATAACAATAAAATCTCAAATAGACAAACAATAAAGTAGTCATACCCCATGGTTTTAAGATATTGCACTTTTCGCCTATTGCACTTGAAAACAGCAAATGAATTAGGCAATGAGTCCAACTTAGTTGTAACCATGAGACTGAATTGTAAACATGAAGGTGCACTAGATCAGATAATCAGCTTAGCAGCATTCAGTATGGTGATGGCTGAAGGATAGAAACTGTTTTTTAGTCTGTTTAGCTTTAGTCTATGTATCAGAAACACCTGCTTGAAGTACATGTCCAGGGTGTGATGGGTCCTGTAGAATTTTCTGGATGCTGCTGAGACAACGGGAACTGTGCAATTCTTCAAGTGAAAGGAGAGGGCAGCCGATTATCTGCTGTTTGACCTGAATGACCCTGTGGAGCTCTTTCCTCCGTGCTACTGTGTAGCTGGAGAGCCATGCACAGAGACAGTAGGCTAGGACAAATCGGAGCAACCAAAACACCATGGCTGCTATCTTGGGACATTGCCAGATGAATAACCACACAATATTTTATGTGTGGAGATATGCAGATTTGCTTGTACACTAAACATATTTGGCTTGATTGAAATCGTTCAACTATTGATTATAATTTTCTTTTTCAACATGTGAAATATATTTGAAAATCAGCGAACTCTGTCTCTAAAGGCTAGGCTTATAAAATGTTTAATAAATTACTTTGTTAATCCCCAATATCTCATCTATCAAAGGATGATGTGGCTGTTGAGCTGTCCTCCTTCCTCAACACTTCAGGGCTTATAAAGCACTTCCACAATATACCAAAACAGTAGTATGTGGTGTGCGCCGCTAGCCTAATTTAGGATAACGCAAGGATATGCCAAATATATACTGATCATTAACTTTTCAGCATCATGATACGCCATTCCTTAATAATTTAATCATACTACTAATCTGCTTACCAAATTGTGGATGTAAGTAAACATCCTTATAGTGCCGAAAAGCTGTCATCCAGACAAATGTTTCCACTAGTCATCTAATGCCCTGTGTTGTACAATTTTTCAGAAATTTACTATCACTATCTCACGTCAGCTTAATGTGTTTTGCAGTTTTTCACAATTTGTTTAGAAAGAATTATAACCTACCAAAACTGTTTCAGAAATACAATATAACTGGCTCTTTTTAAGATGCATTTAAGTGAATTTTGTTTTCAGGTTTTGGACCAGTACTGAACATTACGCTCTGAATGCTGACTGGGAATATCACTAAAGCAGACCCTTATGAATGCCGGCTGTGAACTTAGTACTGCAAAAATGGTGAGGGTTCGTTGTCAACTTCTTGGTATGATGTGATCTGTTATATTGTGCTGGAGGGCTGTTAGGCACTGATTGTGGTTTAATGTCTTTGAATATTGTTTGCGTGTGAGTGAATTCTGGAGGTCAATGATGAGCAGTAAAAGGTCTGATGCTCCCAACTTCCTTTTGTGTCCAGCAGCCCTTGTTCTACTCCCAGCATGCTCTAGATGTGTGTTGTTGGCTACAGGGGCTTCTAACAAATTGGATAACCCCTTCTCCTATGTGCCAAAGGCTATTGGGACATAGTTGTGGTGGAGATCCAAGATTATTTTAGTTCTGGAGGAAGGGAGCTGTCCATGATCTCAAGTTTTCAAGCTGAGACCTCCTACATAAAGGAATTTGCCTTGAACCAGGGTTTTCTGTGGTTCTGTGATTGCAGTGTATATGAAGCTAGTGTCATACAACTTAACTGGATTATATTTTGCTTTGCTTGATATCTTTAGGTTAATATGTCTTTACATTCTAGTTGTGCTAACTTTGTATTTGTTGAACTCTCATCTCTTAAGGGCAGGACATCTCAGGAAAGAGGGCAGGAAAGTGTCACATCTTTTCAATCCTGGTGTCCTGTACTCCAATAAAAGCCTGCGTATGCTGAATCAAATTAAGCTGGGTGGACAACACAACAGTGCTGTACAAGAAAGTCAGAGCAAACTGCTTTCTAAGGAGAGACTGGTCTTTTGAACTGTGCAGCAAGATGCTGTACATGTTTCGTCAGTTGGTTATAGCTAGTGCTGGCTATAGTCAGTCATAATTGATGGTGTGGGAGCATTTTGGTTTCCCAGTAGTGGAGACCGTAATTAAGTCCAAGGTGGTTTGCGAACTAGAATTTGAAGCTAGAAACCTATCCAGTGTGCTAACAATTTTTTGTCCAGAGCAAGGCATAAACAGACACTACCTGTGGTATTTATGGAGCTTTTGCCAGGAAATTCAGGCCAGGCTAGAAAAATAACTAGTTATAGGGCTATGTATTGCTACAACTATGTAACCGTACTTAGTAGTAGAGAACCCAGAATTTAATTCATTATGATGGCCATGATGTAGTCTTACTAATTATTTTACATATTCTTGCCATGTGCAAATAAGGTTTTGTTATTCAAACACATCAAGACGCATTACCTTTGGTTGTACATTGTTCCTGATTGTTTGTACTTTTAAAAATAAATTTCAAAACAAATTGTTTTTCCTTCTGTACTGAAATTGAATCAAACCACGAATTTTGTGTACTGTTATACCCCTTGTCCTCTATCAGAAGTGTAAACAAGTATTCTAGTGAAAACCATGTAGGTTCAACACTCAATTCTAGACCAGGCTAGTGCCCTGGGGCCTCTGACTGGAGGGGACCTTGGGGTATTGGAGGCCACAACATGTATGGTTAAATGTTGAGCTTAACAGCAGTGCCATCTTCATATTCAGCGTGGGTTGACCCCCAAGGTCTCCTTGCCCCTCTGCAAATACAATACTTCAACTACCAGGGCTCCTGAGCATTCTGCATGTATAACCCGAGTTGACCACCAAAGCCCTCTGTTTATACAGCGCAAGTTGATAACCAGGGCCACAAGGCCCCCTGTATGAGCAGCATTAGTTGACCACCAGGTTTCCCTGCATGTGCAGTGTGAGTTGACCACCTTAGTAAATACAGTGCCCATTGGTATTACAGTGCAAAACAAGGGTGTGCTACTAATTACGGGCCAATCTAAACATCAAGGCTGATAAACTGCATGCTAGTCTTGTAAGACTTGCATTTCTGCTAATCTTTTTTTTTTTTTTAAAGATGTGTCCTTTTATCCTATAATTTCTCCCTCAGTTCAAATACTTGAATACTAAACTGCACCTCTTTAACTCATTTTGCCTTTTGTGTCCTATGAAATTGTATATGTGACCCAATTACTATTTTATGGATTGAGTTTCAATAATGTGGGGGGTGTTTCGCACATGGTCATGCAGTGGGCTAAGCCTCTGTGTCCATGGGCAGATCACACGCCCCCCAGTTCTAGGGATACCACACACTGGCTGACCCCAAGAAATGGGAGCAACATGTGGTAGGCAAAACGCAAAATTCCAATGTACATGTACAACGGATGTAACGATATCAAAAACTCACGATAAAAGTTTCACAATACAATAATTATCATGATATTTGAAAAGAAAATAAATTCTTAATAATCAACATGTCAAATTAGTTCTTCCTTTTAACATATTCTTCTGCTTTTATTCACTAGTGAAATATCCATTTATGACCTAAAGTATTTGCCAGAACTTAGCAGTAATTGTCCTTTGCAATGAATGACTGAACAATGCATGTAATATAAAACAAAAACAAGCAGTCAGTAGTTCCTTTATAAAATATTATTACTGAAGCAGCTGGATCTTTTAATCAAAACACATTCACACTAATTCAGTTATGCTCATTTTTGATTGCGCACGGATTGTATAAAATATTCTCTATTTATAATCACACAAGTCCTTATTTAAATTCTCTATCCAGTATCTTTATCCCCCGCAAATCAAAATTCAACACGTATAAAGGGAAAAAACAAAACCATTAAACCATTCAGGAATAACAATATCCAAGGGTTAATATACCATTTAATTCAGGCATCACAATGTGCAAAGGTTAATATACAGTTCAATTCAGTCAATCAAATCCTAACTGCACACGTTATACGAAATTCAAAGTTCCCTATATTCATCCTTCAGTCGCTCCATGGGTCTAGCTCGCCATCCTGATATGAACTCAATTCGATGGGTTTCTGTTCAGCGAAGCACACGCAGTTATATCCTTTCCAAATCTTCGGAAGAGTCAATGTAGTGCAGAAAAAACTAATTTATCGTGGTTTACAACATTTCTTCCATCTTCCTTTTCCTTTAGTTAATATAAAAGAAATCTTCTTATACCACATAAGTTGTAAACTCAAGTTTAGCAAATTTCTACCACATTCTAAATCCTATGGCTGGGTGCTGTTAGCACTCGCTGCAGTCAGCCTCAACTGTTTGTGCAGAAAAAAAACCTGCGCTTTCCATGTTATGTCATCACATCACCTCACAATCTGCATACAATCGTCTTTTTTTAAATCGTTGTTTTGTTAATATACTATAAATGTGTTCTTGTTTCTCTGACCAATTTCTAAATCATTGTTGTAATAGTTGTTTTGTAATGGATTTAATGACCTATTGTCATGTGGGTTACACACGGTCAATACAGCACAAAGCATTCGTTAATGTAGTATGTATTTTTTGAGATGGAGCTTATACGAGCAAAATAACCACGTGATATCATAACAGTCTGACACCGGTTTCGAGGTATGTTTTTATCGTGATATTACGTTTTTTGTTGCATCCCTAACGTACTCATACTTGTGCAAGTAGCAAATAATTGTCATTTTTAATTGTAATAACAGTACTGTCAGTAACCATTCTTTTCGCATTCTCCCTGATGCTAAATACACTCCTAAAAAGTGGTGGTGTTTCAGCAAGAAACCAGTTTTAGATGCTTTCCAAAATGTGACCAATGCCCCACCCTGACATCAGAGGCTACATCCCATAAAAGGACAGAAACAATTGCATTTAAACCAATAAGAACCTATTTTGTTAATTTTAATAATATTCTTTATCAGATATTGTATTAGGACAAACTTGCAGACAATTACGTTGCCTATAATTATGGGCCTATTCATGTAATGAAAGGCCCATATTGTTCTTCACCTACTAAACTACATTTTGCCAATTTGCGCTGAGCCCGTGAAAGGCACGGAGCTCACTTTGGTGGCAAATCGTAGGGCTTACTTAGCTGCACGGATTGACATATCGTTTGTCTCCGTACTGCTTACNGCACCTAATGTAGCTGCAGAGAAAAGCAGAATGTTATATAATGATATCAGCATTATAAGTAATAAAAATGATGTGGTGGTTATGGGTGATTTTAATTTACCTGGGATTCAGTGGGACACAGTCTCTGGCTCTTCTGTAAATGAACTTGAGATGGTGGAATTAGTACAGGATTGTTTTTTTACTCAGTTTGTTAATGCCCCTACCAGGGGAGAAGCCCTTCTTGATCTTGTTTTCTCTAATAACCAGGATAGGATTAGAGGTTAGAGGTTTTTGAACCATTGGACGGTAGTGATCATAATATGGTTAAATTCGAGGTTAATTTTAGTGTCAGAAGAGCAAAGTAGAAATTAAAAGTATACAATGTTAGGAAGGCTAACTTTAATGGTATGAGACGGAAACTAGAAACTGTAAACTGGACGGAGTTAAATAGCAAGACAGTTGAAGAGGCATGGGAACTTTTTAAAAGCACATTGTTGCAAGTGCAAGAGGACTTTATACCTGTTTCCAGGAAAATTAAATCTAGGAAATGACAACCAAGGTGGTTTACTAAGGAAATTAAGAATAAAGTCAGGAGGAAAAGGGCTCTGTTCCACAATTGGAAAATAACTAATGATTTCTAAATTAAGCAGGAGTATCTAAGTCTACAGGTAGAGTTAAAAAATAACATTAGACTGTCCAAGAGGGATGTAGAAAGAAAAATTGCATTGGAGGCTAAGGATGACAATAAAAGTTTCTTCCAATGTTTGAACTCCAAAAGAGCTCTAAAAGCTGAAATCACTAATTTGCAGGATAGTAAGGGCCTTATAATTGAAAATGAAATTGATATAGTAAACGAGTTTAATGATTATTTCTCACGGGTGTTCACAGTAGAGAACACAAGTAACTTACCAGCAATTAGTATGAATACAGCGTTGTCTATGACCAATATATGCATAACTGAGGCTGATGTGGTACTAAGCCTAGCTAAATTCAAAATAAATAAATCACAGGGCCCTGATGGCATCTTACCTATAGTTTTAAAAGAGATGAGGGATATTATTAGCCAACCTTTAACTTTAATATTCCAGAAATCGTGATCTGTGGGTGTGGTACCTTCAGATTGGAAGCATGCTAATATAACACCCATATTCAAAAAAGGGGATAGAAGTAATCCGGCAAACTATAGGCCAATCAGTTTAACTAGCACTACTGGAAAAATAATGGAAGCTATAATCCAAGTGAAAATGGTAGATTACCTGGATGCAAATAGCATTCTGAGGAATAGCCAACATGGATTTAGGAGAGGTAGATCCTGTTTAACGAATCTACTTGAATTCTTTGAGGAAGCTACAAGTGAAATTGATCACAAAAAGGCCTACGATGTGATCTACTTAGATTTCCAGAAGGCCTCTGATGTTGTCCCCCACAAACAGCTCTTGCTAAAGCTCAACGCTGCAGGGATTTTAGGAACTGTGGCAGCTTGGATCGAAAACTGGTTAACTGATTTAACTGTATTTGACACTCCCTGCCGGCCCCTGGAGGATGGGCTCCCCCTTTGAGTCTGGTCCCTCCCAAGGTTTCTT